ATTTTTCAAGGGCTAGCCAAATGGCAAGCAAACTATTTTTCTGTTAATACCACTGGAGTCTGCCATATTCTTCAATGGGATGGGAAAAGGGTGACAAATTCACTATATCATTTTCAATTTCAAATGTCGTGCCCATGGGTGCCATTAAAATCATGCTAAAGACCAGAATTATTTGTTGAAATGGAATCGTGACTATCTTTCATGTCCCCTCTTATTCTAAGTATCAGACATTTTCTTTGTGTTTAGAGTAAGATAGTGAAGAAAGGGATGTGGTATAATGGGAAGAGTTTGGGATTTACAGCCTGGCTAATATTTCCAGTGAAGGCTCAGACGCTCCAGTTTACTGGGTATGTGACTTTGGGAAAGTTACTTTATTCTCTGAGACTCCTTTATATTTAAACAGATAACAAAAGCATGTATCGAATCAGGCTTGACCTAAGACCTAAATGTGTGCTTTACATTAATAGAGATACAAGGCTCAGCTGCACAGACTTTGACATGTAAACCCTGCAACTTGTGTAATTTGTCACTAGGTGACTCATACAGAATAAATTTTGGGTTTCACATAAGAGGATCCCAGGCCGCTAAGTCATTGTTTGAACAATTACTTCTTTCAACCCAGAATTACTTTGAATAGATTAAAGATATACTCTGTTCACTTCCATATGCCAACATGCAATAAATTAATGGGATAAAAAGTTCTCGCCTGAGAGGATATAAATTGAGAGGATATAAATTGTTAGTTTCTAGCAAAAATGAATATAGCTGCTAATAATGACATAAGTGACCAAAATATTGTGGAGTTTCATGAGTTACTCATAATCTTGGGACCACTGTTGAGCATTACCTAGAACACACCAACATGAGAGAGGGCCGTATCCTGTCATCGAGAAATATATTTCTTATGTGCTTAATACTGATTTTTTAAGATATAAATTAAGTATTAGTATCTATAATATTTTCCTTACCACTTTATTGGAAATTATAGTGGGTAAACCATATAGATTATTTTAAGAATAAAGAGTTTTGGATTGCCAAGTTATTAATTTTACTTACAATTATTGAAATTCTTTTATTTATATAAAGTATACTTCACTTAATAATTCAGAGATTTTAATAACAATCCAGTTACTATTGGGATACCGATTTTTATTGATGCCCATTTTGTAAACAAATTCCTAGTTTCTTCTAGTAGAGAGTGTATTACACACCCACACACATACACACTCACACACACACGTACTCTCTTAACATGAGCAGAGTAATTGGCAAATACCAAAATAATTAAAAATTAAAAGTAAACTATAGGATGATATCTTAATGAGCTTCCCCCAAATATTAATGTAATTAATGATGCATTGACCTCAAAATCATGTCAGACAGCACTGGAGAAAATTCATGACCGGGTGCACTGTCTCACGCCTGTAATCCCAGCACTTTGGGAGGTTGAGGTGGGCAGATCACCTGAGGTCGGGAGTTCAAGACAAGCCTGACCAACACGGAGAAACCCCATCTGTACTAAAAATACAAAATTAGCCGGATGTGGTGGCACATGCCTATAATCCCAGCTACTTGGAAGGCTGAGGCAGGAGAATCACTTGAACCCGGGAGGTGGAGGTTGTGGTGAGTCAAGATCATGCCTTTGCACTCCAGCCTGGGCAACAAAAGTGAAGCTCCATCTCAAAAAAAAAAAAAGAAAACTTACTGGATAGATGCCTCAGCCACCCAAGTAGCTGGGATTACAGGCATGCACAACCACACCCAGATAATTTTTGTATTTTTAATAAAGACTGGGTTTCACCATGTTGGCCAAGCTGGTCTCGAACTCCTTACCTCAAGTGATCTGCCCACCTTGACATCTCTAAGTGCTGGGATTACAGGCGTGAGTCACCATACCTGGCATGTTTTTGGAAAAAATAACAGGATATTAGACTGATAAATACAATACCAATTTCTGATCATTTATTTTGCTATATAATAGACTTCTTGCACTTTATGGTGTTTTATTAGTCAGGAATAAGGAGAAAACAACTTATAGGTGTGGAAATGTTACAAATTAATTTTTAAAAACTAGAGAATAAATCAAACAATTAGGCTTTTGCAGACTTTCACTTTAAAAACCACTTTTTACTTTTTAATTATCATTTCTTAATAATAAAAATTATGCTTAAATGCTGCTTCTATGTCAGATTTTTAAAGAGCCTTAATCTGAAAAAAAAAAATCTTCTAATGCAAAAGAGCTCACGGTGAAATTTAGATTGGCAATATGAAATTACAAATTTATTAGTATTGATATGACCTAACTTGTGCCTAACTTGATTTAGGGGGAAGAAACCTTAAGAATAGAGGATATCCTTGAAGTAATTGAGAAGGAAGGAGACTCAATTGCAGTGATCCTGTTCAGTGGGGTACATTTTTACACTGGACAGCACTTTAATATTCCTGCCATCACAAAAGCTGGACAAGCGAAGGTATGCACACCATTTACTTCTTCCCACTTTACTCCAAACATCACTCTACTTAAGAGTGTTCTAATTGCGTGACTTGTGAAGTGCTTTAGCTTGTGTCTGAGTAAAACTATTTCAATAGTTAAAAAAAAAAAGAGTAAGCCTAGGGTGGGGTACGATGGCTCATACCTGTAATCCCAGAACCTCGGGAGGCTAAGGTGGGCAGATCACAAGATCAGGAGTTCGAGACCAGCCTGACCAAAATAGTGAAACCCTGCCTCTACTAAAAATACAAAAATTAACCGGGCATGGTGGTGGGTGCCTGTAATCCCAGCTATTTGGGAAGCTGAGGCAGAAGAGTCGCTTGAACCCAGGAGGCGGAAGTTGCAGTGAGCCGAGATTGC